GTCAACCACCAAGTAGTTGAGGAAGCAGTTTCCCAACAAATGCTTCCCAGCAAAAGCATTTCTCCCATGACCACCATGCAGTTTCTCCAAAACAGTCTTTTATTTCTAACTTCTTAGATCATGCCCCTACTTATCAGGGAGCAGTTATGTTACCTATTTTATTTAAGCACGTAAGCAATAAGGAAAGGGGGGGAATTTTAGTAATCAAACTTGTGGTTTCTTTCTCACCTTAAGAAAAATTTGTTTTAATTTTCCTGTTCTGACTGGGACCTATCAAAGTTATGACAACAAACAAAAAAATAATTGAGAACTTGGAAGCTAGCTTGAGAGAGTTGCAGGATAGCTTGAGTCAGATGGAGATGGGGTTCGCCCACAAGTTCCACCGGATCGAAAACACCCTCAAGTTGTTAACCGACACGTTACTGGTAAACTGCAAAGGCTCCAGCAGTAACACGTCGGACCGGTCTGATCATACGTGGCCATTCCGTGATAACAGCACCGAAAGAATTGATGGGGGACCTATCAGTAGTATCAGCAAATCCTCTTTGTCGCAAGTCTCCATTGATCTTGTTGATGAAGCTGCTGCAAAGCTGAAAATGGAGATCACTTCTAAACCAACTGAATTGGGTGAAATAGATAGAGCTGTCATGAAGTTGGAGATGGAGAAGCTCTCTCTTAAAAATGACGATGAAGCATCAAAAGAAAGGTTAAACCAGCTAGAAAATGATCTGAGCTTGCTTAAAGAGAAACAACAAAAACTAACTGCGCAATGGGAGCGTGAGAAGGCTCTCATGATACAAATTCGATCCATTAAAGAAGAGATTGACAGGGTTAATCTGGAAATGGAATCTGCTGAGCGTGAATATGACCTGAATCGGGCAGCTGAGCTTATATATAGAACTCTAATGTCCCTTCAGCGAAAGTTAGAAGTTGCTGAAAAGAACCTTGCTGAGTTTCGAAAATCTGGAAGTTCTTTGCTTCGAGAAGAGGTTACAGATCTTGATATTGTAGAAATCGTAAGCAAATGGACTGCATACCCTTGTCAAACTTTCAACAGACAGAGAGAGAGAAACTGGTCTTCTTGGAACAAGAACTTCACAAAAGGATAATAGGTCAGGATATGGCCGTAAAATCAATGGCGGATGCAATCCGGCGGCCAAGGGCAGGTTTGTCATATCCAAATCGCCCGATAGCCAGTTTTATGTTCATGGGTACTACCGGTGTTGGTAAAACTGAGCTTGCCAAAACTTTAGCTGGCTTTCTATTTAACATAGAAAAAGCCTTGGTCAGAATTGATATGAGCGAATACATGGAGAATGATGATGATGGAGACGACGAGGAAAGAAAAACGAGCAAGAGAGAACAACATCAAACGTCGTCTTCTTCCTATATTCATTTCTCCAATTACAAAAAAAAAAAAAAAATCCGACTATCTTAACCTTGTGGGCAAAGTTCCTAAAATAGAGGAAGGTAATGTTACACACCCAAAGTATCTCAGCAGTAAAAGGGTGGGTAGCAGTTGTGGTAGACTCAGTCAGCAAGTAGTTGAAGCCATTATCCCTTTTTCAAGTAGGTTACCATGATAACAAACAAAGAGAAACTTAAAAACTTGGAGATCAGGATCAGTGTAGGCGGTCTGCAGGAGGGCTTGAGACGCATGGAGGCAGGTATAGCCGAGAAGCTCCACCAGATCGAAACTACCCTCCAGCGATTAACGAAAGCCTTGGGGTTGAACCCAAAAGGCTCCAGCAGCCATACTGCGAGCCAAACTGGCCAAGCGTGGCCAAACAGAGATGACGGAATGGAGCTCATCAACTCCACATCTCTTCCCAACTATGAGGATGCTTTAACAAAGAGATCAGAAAACCAGATGGGTAACCCTTATTTGATGGAATTAAGTACGGGATCAATTCCAATGAGTCATAGTCCAATTCTGGCGATGTTTTGCATCATGGCGAGTCCTAGCAGAAACCAAATGATGATGGGGAGTGATAATGTGTGGTTGTTCTTATCTGTGAGTAGTAGCACTATATCTAGTGGTGTGCATTTCATAAACTTGCCTACTCCTATTGCTTTGTTGACTGGACAGCAACTTGGCTCTGCAACGAGTCATAATAACTCAGTTGGTGGCGATAGTCATTAGGGCATGTTTGGCGCGTTAAATGCGTATCATCCGATTCCCCCCAACACTATCAATATCTCCAATTCGATTAGGTCAGGGGCGGTCCCATCATCAGCATCATGGAGGAGGAGAAGAGGGAGCATGACGCAAGTCATAATTCTTCTCAACAAAAATTACAATATATATATATATATATGTGCAAGTATATTTTTACAAAAGAAAAAAAAAGTTCAATGACTAGAAACTTGAGGACAAGGTTCCTATAAAGAGGGGAGTAGTGATACACCACAAATATCACAGAGACAGCGGGTACCCAATCCTAGATATTTTAGCAACCGCCTTCCATGACTGGGTCAACCACCAAGCAGTTGAAGAAGCAGTTTCCCAACAAATAGTTGCAAAAGCAGTTCTCCCATGACCACCATGCAGTTTCTCCAAAACAATCTTTTATTTCTAACTTCTTAGATCATGCCCCTGCTTATCAGGGAGCAGTTATGTTACCTATTTTATTTAAGCATGTATGCAGTAAGGAAAGGGGGAAAATTTTAGTAATCAAAACTTGTGGTTTCTTTCTCACCTTAAGAGAAAATTTGTTTTTAATTTTTCTGTTCTGACTGGGACCTATCAGGATGTTCGGAATTTATTAGAAATTGGCTTAAAAAGATTTAAAGACTCTAGAAATCTGGAATTTATTCCACCTTCCAACAACAGTTTCACGTGTTACAGAACCTTCAGAACCTGATCCTTTTCTTGTGTTTTCCCAGCTTAAATCTGCAACTTTTTTCCAGGTAAGATGGGTGATAATCTAATGAATGCAAGTATGGATATTTTTAGCTTACATTGCATTCGGTAAAACCTTTCAAAATTAAAACCAAAGTGGCATTTAAAATGAAAAGGGTGAGTGAGTTCTCATTTGCATTTTTGATGATTCTATGAACTATTTTAATTGTTTTTAATGTGGAATGTTGATGTTTACATGCAATAGATGATGGAAATGATATTTTAAAAACAGAAAATGGGAAATAGATGATACAGAAGCCAGATTGCTTATGTCAAGTGTGCCA